AGGAATGCAGCCCAGCATCAGGGAGTCACTCCCTGATGCCAAGTTCTGTGATGGGAGCTGAGGAATTTTATCACAGATTTCCAAAACTGCATGCCCTGCCATGCCAGATCTTGAACCTCTGGCATTACAGGATTTGTGATTTCTAGGATCCAAAATAAATTTGTCAGATCCAAGATGAGATCAAATTAATGTCTTCCAGGGGCATAACACTCTGAAGTTATTTAACCATAAAAATAATACACCATGAAGAACACATAGAGAGACATTGTGATCGTCTAACATCATTGTGACTTCATATTCCTGTATAGACTTCTCTTTCAAGGCCTCTAAAGCTAGATTCCTTGGAGCAGGACAGAGATGGAAATGGGGCAACTAAGAAAATGAGGTAGCAAAATATTAATCAATATTCTTGGAAACAGTGTATAAAATCATATTATTTGTGTGTTTGGAGATGGTGTGAAAGAAATAGATGAAGGCTCAAAAAGAAGAAAATTGTTCATTCTGCCCTGACTAGATTAGTTATAACCACCGCTAATGAGCTAATTTAAATCGAGGTAAGTTTCCTGTATGAGACTAATAGCACACAAGGCGTCTATTTATGGAAGGCCATTAAGCCTACCCATTGCCTTCTTCTGAGAGGACAGTCCCAGGAGGCCCTGTTACCTACAGCTTTAAAAGGGCAGGAAAAGAGAAATTAAACTCAAATTTAAGGGGGGGGGTCTTAATTAACCTGTTCCTGTTATTCAACTACTTAAGGCCAGTAAGTGATAAGAGCTTAGCACAAGATGGACATTGCCTAAACAAAATGATGGAATCAATCTAGGTTGTTCTAAATTATTCAGCCATAGTTTCTATACCATTCCTTATCTACGGAGAACTCTGTGCTTAGTCAACAGATTTCTTCTGTTCTGCTTTCCTGACAATAGCTCTTCAGGTATTTTCTCCACTAGCACAGGCTTTCATGGGAAAATGCCAGGTTTTTTAAAGCTATTTCACAGAAATTTTTCAGTCAACATGACTACAATTGTTTGCCTTGTTGGGTGCTGAGGAACCTGACCTTATAGGGCCCATGATTCCAAGCTGCCCTGGAGCCAGAGACTGTAGGTCTTGTAGGTCCGCTGTCAGCACTTCAAGATTCCCCATGTTTGAATTCCTGGGAGGGAGTTCAAGGATCCACAACTCTAGGGGTACATCTACACAAGTTGTTTACTGTGCAGTTGACTAACTATGCAGTAACATCTCGGCATCAACATGTCCGCCCCATTAGGGCACACAACTCCACATCAGACCCAATTAGGGTGTACAAAACTAATCAACTCTGCAGTAACTACAAGTCCTACCCCACTACAGAGATTTTCATGTGCAGCAGCGCACACGTAGATGCAGACCCGGCTGTTTGGGGCACAAGGGTGCTTCAGTGCAGGAACTGCCTGCCAGCTAGCCCTACACTGAACCACCCTTGTGCCCCAGCCAGCCCCTCTGCAGCATATTGAGCCTGGTCAGAGCAGCCTCAGGCTGGCAGGCCGACCTCCTGGGCCTCTTGCCAGCCAGGGCTGCTGTGAACTGGCTCAATGTGCTTCAAATGTTGCTCTACAGTTTATTGCAGTGCATTAATGGCGCATGTAGATGTGCCCCAGGGGAACTACACCATACAGACTGACCCACAGACTATGTTTCCATTTAGCCAAACATAGGCACTGACTTTTAATTTTGTTGGGGGAGGGGAGGCTAAGAGATAATGCCTCCCCCCCATGGCATGCCCAGGGCACAGCTGACTGGAGTCCGTGGGAGGGCAGAGGCAGATGCAGGCTGCCCACTGAAGGCTTGGGGCTCCCCACCCTGCTGCCCTCCCCCCCAAGAGCTCTGTACTACCATAGTGAGGCACTCCTTGCCCACCCAGCAGAAGGGGGGGCACAACTCCACACCACCACCCCTGCCCCTACTGCTGCCAGGCAGGCAGGGGGCAACTTGACATGGCAGCACTGAGTTCCCAATGGTAGGGCAGCAGACTGAGGAGCCCCAAGCCTGTAGCAGGCAACCTGCATCCACTCCTACTCAGAGCAGAAATCTGGGGGGCATGTGCCCCCATCTCCCTGCTCCCTGGTATTGCATGCTGCAGCAGGAAGCTGGCCCCCGCCCCCCACCCCCAGACAAGCTGCCTGTGGCTCTGTCCCACTCCCACCCTAGTCCTGGACCCCATACACTACCCTGACTGGGCAGCACCCCCAAGCCCAGCCTCAGCCTCTGCCCCACTCTCTCCCTCACTGTGGGGGCCTTAAATCTGCACACCACCCCCCTCCCATAGATTTACCTGCAGGCAACTGGGGGAAGATATATTCCTGGCCACCTGCATGCGCATGCACACACACATGCATGTAGCACCTCCTGCATCCCACTTACTGCAGCCCCTTGCAGGAGTCCACAGCAACCTGGGCTTGTCAGTCTTCAATTAGGGATGGATGGTCACACTGCTCTCATCTGGAGCGGGGGCAGGGCCCTCGAGCCCCCATGTACTCAGTGTCTATGGATCCTGGGGTTGCCCAGCTCCTGTTGCTTGAGGAATCGTATGTCCAAAGAATCAGGTAGCCCAAGGAGGTCCTGGGGGTCCCTGCCCTATAGCAGTCCATGTAGGACTGCCCTTGAACTGCAAACTGTGGAAGCACTGACAACTGCTGTCTGAAATTGTTGTTTACCTTTGATTATACTATGCCCACTACTTAAAAGTAATGATAGACTTGACCAGTTTGTTCATTGTCACTGCTGCTATTCAGTGGTGGGCAGCTATAAAGTTTACCAGAATTGTTTTGGCTTTAGGAAGCAGCTGCCAGAAGATGCAGAGGAGCATATTTAGTTTCAAAAAAGATTTTCAGTATTTCTGACAGGGAGTTTTATGATATTTTAGTTCTGCAAGTTTGAGGCTTTGGCTTTGCACCCTCATTCAAGATGAACAGGTTTCCAAAAATTCAATTTCATGGGATGGAAATCCAATGTCCGGGCCAGCTTTGCTTCTAGTGTGTTTTGTATGGGCCCATGCTTTTAGAAAAGTTATATACAGTATATATTTTATCTGGATGCAATTATTTCCTGTTCCTCCTTCATCTGCTCTCTCCCTCTTTCACTTGTGAAGCATTCAACCCTTGTAGGCATATAATTGCCTGTAAGATGTTCACTTCAGAGTCTTCTAACCATCAGTCTCTGTCTGCCCCCCTATCTTGCCAGATTTCTAGCTGGGCTGGGCTAGGCTGGGAAATGTCTTTCCTAATAACAGAAATGGTGAATCTAACTCAGGCGTACCTATTTCAAGGTCCTAGAATGTCTCGAGCCAATTTTCAAGACACCACAGTCCAGATGCAATAGCTGGAAAGAAGCCATACATGTTTGTTAGCTTATACAGCAAAGTGACAGCTGATCCCTCTAGATATCTGGAATCTCATTGTCAGGGCTCTTCCAAGTGACAGAACTGGTAGCTTGGAGAACAGCAGTATAATTTTACTTTTGAGGGACTTTCAAGGTGAGTAAAAGGATTTGTGGGCCATACTTTCAAGTACCAAGTGTGTCTCCTGCTAGCAAGGAATCTGTTAATCAGCACAGAATGCACATACACTCCCAAAGAGGCTGATAGCAATAACCAACCCCAAGTGCTAATTCTACCGTAAACTAACTGGCTATATTTATATAGAAGCCAGCCTCCAACAATCTGTCTGTTCTTACACTCCACTAACAGGCTTGAGTATCTGAGAATGCACATCAAGATGTGCTCCTAGGATGGCATCTGTAACTTCAGTTTTCTTCATGTGATTTGCATCTTGAATGAATGAAAACCCTTATTGCTGTGATCACTGTACTTACATGAAACAGCTGTGTCTTGCCAGGATCTCGTTCCCTCTCTGTCAGATTTATTTGAGGTCATTTATAATGATGGTCATTGTTACCTGGAGTACAGGTAAACTTGCAGGTTGATAAGAGAGACAAGAGTCAGGTCTACATTTGGAAGCACCCCTGACAGTCTGAAGAATCCTACCAGAGCCTGCATCTCAGGCCAAAACCCTGATGTTGGTCAGAATGTGTGGTATCCGTGGAGCCTGTAAAGACTCATTATTCTTCTATAACTTGAGTTATCCAAAATGTGAATACCATGTTGCCTCCAACATTTTCACCTAACTCCTTCAGGCTAGTGACAATGAGAATGTGTCTGCACCAGCTCTTAAAATGAAGAGAAGTCGATAAGGTCATGTGATGCTGCTCATACTGTGCCGTCTCACAGGTGTGTAGTATTTGGCACAAGCTGTTTGCTTCTCAAGTAGCACCAGTATGCAAGTGACATTCTTTGAAATGCCTTGGCAAGTTGGAGGAGGTCCCTGCCTACTCCATGTAGCTACTCCTGCCAAAGACAGATCGGGCTGGAACATCCTACCTACAGCCTCCACTGAACAGTACAAGTTCTCTTGAACCAGTTATTAGAGACAAAAGCCAAGCTTAGCCAACTTCTGGCTGAAAATGAAGCCTGTTTGCTTAATGGAAGCACCATGTTATTATATAGTAATAAGGTGAAGCCAAAAAGACACTATACTCATATGGAATTAATATTAAGATAAGGTTGTTCATTACTTCAATATTTAATAGCAAAACACAAACATTTTAGTAGACTTCCCAACAGACTAGGTTGAGAATATGTTGCATGATGCTAAGAAGAATAAATTGCAGTAATGTTTTTATAAATAAAGAGAAAATTAAAAATAAAAACATTAACAATTGAAATGCAAATTATTTAAGGCAAGGTAATGCTAAATACTGCCAAGTTACTTTATATATATAATCATTGTTTACTAGGTAATTGTTTGATTAGAACATAAGAAGGTAAGGTAAAATTATATGTCAAACCAGTTGCCTGGTATATATCCCAATTTAGTCAACCTTTATCCCCATATCCTACATAATCCAACAATTATGCTTCTCTAGCAATTCTGCAGAAGTGGAGCACTTTTACCTAGAAAAATCTACTGGATTTCATTGCTTTCTCCTTTTTTGAGACAAGTACGAGCTATATAGTTAACACCAAGGATTTTTAGACTAGAAAATAGGTGTGGTAGCATGGTAGCTACGTACAATGTGAATACGCCCACGATTTAGCAATCCAAGCACTTGTATAAACACTTGTGATTTTGTGGGGGTTGTTTGCATTGTTTTGTAATTGGAAAAAAATTTTCTGGTCACTGTTTAAACAACCATAAAAGTTATAGTCGTTGACAAACTGGCTCTGAAAACCATAGTCTATGACATTATTCAGAGAGGGCAACTCAGAGAGGGCTATAACCAGGGAACAGAAATAACTCCTGTAATCAAATCCAGTATACAACTTCTCATTGTTCATGGCTGATAAACTGGCAGTCATAACACAGGACAAAAGGTCACAGTACAATACTTCAAATAGTCAACTAGGGCATTCTAAGGATGTTTCATATAGCTTTGCAGGCTAGAGTTGTGAGAAAGGAGAGTAACATTACAATACAGCAAATACTAGTTCACCTTAGGGGTCTCATCCTGAATCCATTTTCTGCGCAAGTCTTTTCTTGACTTCAAAGGTAGTTCAGCCTGTGGACAGCCTAAAGAACTGAGTCCTAAATCAAGAAATAATCAGCATAAGCAACCTGTCAAAAGCAGCTGTATTTTATTGCTTTTTGTGTAAAAAAGGAGCTTTCCATTTTCTTCTTGCACAAAACCTTTTCTTCTCCAAAGAACTTTTCACTGAGTAGGCTTCAGTTTTGACATAACTAGATCATTTCATTCCTAGTAAACACCAATACTGTCCATTTATTTGACCATGAAATGTTTCCAAACAGAGTGAGCTGTGGAATACCAGGACTGCAGCCACATACCCACAGGAGTTAAAAGGATTCTAGAAATGACAGAGAGCCTCCCATATTGCATTTGTTTTTCTATTAAGAAAAGTTCTGAGCTCTTTTCCTGGTGCAGAGCACCTTAGAAACATAAATAGATCTGCTAGGATGGAAAGATTTTCATTATTTCCTAGAAATTCTGAGTTATTAATTTTCTCCCCAGCCAAGTTAACCAGCCCTAGACTTTTAGTATGCTCTGCCACTAGAAAGAGAAAATGAGATTATGGTCCTTGCTCTCAATATCCCTTGCTCACAACCCACCTGAACTGTGCTTAGAGATACTAATTACTTTACGATTAACCACAAAGCTCCTTTCTTTGCTGGCTGTTTGCAGCTGAGTTGTCTCCTCTGTTGACATCCGACATGTCCCTGGATCACAAAGAAAACCTCAGTATTCAGTAGGCAGTATGCTCTAGGGGAACAAGGGCAGAATTGAAAAAAACTCATGATCCCTATATGACAATACTGGCTTGTCATTCACAGGTCTTAGTCAAGCCACTTAATTTTTCTCCCTTCGTTGTCCTAGCCATAAAAATAAATATAATAAAGATTTACAAGATAATATAATAAATATTTGTCACAAGAGCAGTAATTGTAATTAATATATTTTGTAAAGCATCCTAAACAAGTGGCAGAATTAAACAGAATTTAAACTACTCCTGGTCACTGCAAAAGTTGTCATGAACATTACAGCTGTCGAGGAAAACTATAGTCCCTGATAAGGAGACATCTGCAGTCTCTGGGGGAGGTTGGAGTCTGTAGGGGTAGAAGTGGTAGGCTAGAAGCGCCTGAGTTGCATCAAAAATCAAAGAACTGCCCAAGTTTAACAACACATGGACCTAGGAGAGTAAAGGTATGCCAGTTTCTATAGCCTGTGGCATAAAAGGAGGGATATGTCCATCAACAGTTCCAGCTACGCTTAACTCCTCAGCTTGAATGACCAGGTGCTTGTTCACAGCCAAATCAACTAGGGTCAGTCTTTTGCATGGGACCAAAGAAGGGCTCAAACTCATACCTCAAGAGCCACAACAAGGTGCCTGAACTGCTCTGCCACCAAAAACTTTGTCCTTGTCAGAACACTTGTCCTTGACCAAAGCTTTCTAAACTCTCAGCATCAATCCAACACAAGAAGCTTTTCTGCACCAATAACATGGCAGGAGCTTCAACAGCTCACATGTTTACATAACAAATCAAGAGCTTTAGTAGTGTCCAAAGAACTGTCCCACTCTGCATCCCTACATCTGATTTGCTTCATGCACAGCAGCATGGCCACACCAGCCAGGAATCTATACAGTTAAGGGACAAACAATTATTTTTTATGCTCATTCAAAATAATCTTAACAGTCTCTCTCTGACAGTGATTCTCAACCAGGGTGCCAAGGCACCCTGGGCTGCCTTGAGATCCTTTCAAGGGTACCACAGCATGCCATACAACATTAGTATTGTTACGTCTACAAACAAGATTTTCAAAATAAAGCTAGATATTTAAAATAGGAATTGATGGTCTTAAAATGATTCTGGCATTCTGTGGTATTTCTGAGTTCTTTACAACAGAATTGCTCTAGTATTTTTCTGTAGTTGTAACCCCCCTTGTACTATACAAGGGAACTTTTCAAAAAGCATCCATCTTGGGAAGGTCAGTGAGACCCCCCCGCCTTAAGCTTGGTGGGGTAATGTTGGTGGCTGCTGGCCCTGGGGGGGTGTACCACTGAAGGAGAGGAGAGTAGCAACCAGGTTCAAGGGTGCATGTGGCAGGTGGGGTCCAGTGTTCAGAGAGAACTCTGTGAACAGGGCAGGGTCATTTCTAACTGCAACAGACTGTCCTGTTGGAAACATCGACTGATCAGGGTTGGGTGAGCTCTGGCTCCTGCTGGCAGAGGGCAAATCTGTTCACTGTCTTGAGAACTGAAAAGCATTGAAGGAAATGTTAATAACTTTTTTCTCAGCCAGACAAATATGCATCCTGGTCTGGGCACCTGCTGGGAAGAAGAAACAAACAGCACAAGTATACTGGATCTATCCAGAGGCTTCAGAGAAGATGGATTCAATCTGCAGTGAAAGCAGTTCTCAGAAGTTTGAATAGCCCTTGTAAGAGTGTGGTAGATCCTGCATAAGCTGGAGTTTCAGGTGCAAATGTCAAGAATTGAGCATCAAAACCTGAAACAAAGTGAAGAAATTCTTAGGGATGGCAAAACTGCAGCCATCCCTAAGATGGTCTGCAGCTTATTCATCACTGAGGAACAGTAAGATGTTCATATATTGTGATTTTTAATGTTTTCTTTGTAAGGTTTTCATTTATTGTTTGCTGTCCACTTGTTGATGTAGTATTAAGATAATTCTGAACTTTTTTTAAATTCGTTTTTAGAGAAAAATTCAACAACGCTAGGGGGGTGTATGTATGTGTGTGCGTACACCTCTCAGTTAAATACACACACAACCCTCTGGGTTCAATTTTACACACACGCACCCCTATTTGTATATATAGAGAACCCAGAGAGTTGTGTGCCTAATATTGCATTTAATCTGGCATTTTCCAAGGGGTGCTTTCAGTCTAAGAATATTGAGAAACAGTGCTCTATAAGCTACCCAGATCCAGTGGTGGCAAACTCAGCTGGTCCTATGGGCCAGAAGTGTGGTGCAGGGCTCGATGAATGGTGCATGGCCAGCTCTGAAGGCCAGATCAGGTCCACATACCATTTCACCCCTCTTCCCCAACCATGCTGGATCCAACTCACATGGCACTTGCTCAAGTCAGCTCAGGACTATATTGCATATGTCACATGTGCTGGGCGAGCCCAGGACAAGCACCATACACAGCACTCATTGTGGCTAGTCAAAGACCTGTGCTGCATGCAGCACCCTTCCCAGAGCACCCAAAGAGGGGGATGTGTCCCATGCAGTGTGCATCCCACACCAGCTGGTGTGGGCACCGCAGATCCTGTATGAAGCACAGATCCCAGATGACCCAGGGCAGAGCCAATCTGGCATGCCATATGCATTGTGTGGGTCAACTCCAGACCCAGAGGCAGTACCAAGATCCAGAGGATGGGGCTTCCCAGGCTGCATCCAGCCCACAAGCTCTATCTTTGACACCCCTACTGTATGGCATTTTGGCAGAAGGCACGGAAATGGGGCACCTTACAGACCAACTCATGCAAAGAAGAATAAGCTTAGGCTTCATTGTCAAAGTAGTCTACAGCCTATGAAACCTCATACGTCTCTGAATGAGTTAATCCATAAGATACCACACTGCCTTGCCTTCTGCCTAATTTCAGACCAACATCGCTAACTACCTCTCTCTATTTATGGTGTTGAGCAGTATCACATTGTTGTGCTCTCAGAGACAGATCCACAGTGGTAGATTCTGAGAGGAGCAAAGCTCCAAGGATTGGATATTTTTAGAACCAGAGCTTGGTTATATGTTGTAATATCCTTATGCAATATTTTTTTTCCAAGTAGTAAGTTGCTAAACTCCCTGCTTATCTTTAAGTCCATTCCTGATATTACACTGCTGTAAGATCCTTGACATTTGGAAAGTACAAGGAAGGATGGTTAACCAATGAATCATAGAAATTAGACAGGAAGTATTTAGTGGATCACATTCTCCCCTATTATCAGTAGGTACTTGTTCACTGTTGCACTTTTTCCAGTCAACCTTATTGGCCTTTGTGAGCTATTAAAAGAGAGACTCTTAACAGTGTGGGACACCGTGAGGTGAGCAGTGTGCAATTTGATACCACAACTTTTAAAAAGAAAGATTTTACTATAGCATTATGCTTCTTATGGTCTCCAATCTTATCAGGTGCTGTTGTAAACTGTAACTAAGGCCTGTTGGCAACAGTACTACTGCTATGTGGATCATTCATTCCATAATATGAATAAATTTCTAAATAGAAATTTGTCTATAAGTTCCACTAGTTGGAAATTCAATTTAGCATTTCTTTCCAGGTATATAAAGGAATTAATATTTTGCTTATGTCATAGCATCAGTTTCCCTCTAAAATACTATCCACTAAGGCTTCTGCAATTATTAAAATAGAACCTATTAAAATAACTAGTTGTGAAATATTCTAGTCCCACTTTCACACACACATAATTCAGGTTGAATTATCATACTTCTTTTCTGCTTTTTCTCATTGCCTTATACAATGTTATGTTTAAACTGGGGAAATCAGACAGTACCTCCAGGTCAAACAGTTCCTGAAATCTGCCTACAAATTGGTTCTCTTTGTCCAGCCTAAATCTCATAGCCCAGAGAATAACAGTGTTATCTTTGCACAAGTGATCAAAGGTGAGGAGGAGTTCATCAAGGAAGGGATGATAGTACACTACATCAGCAGCCATGATGTAGTCAAACTGACATGAAGACCAGGGAAAGTTCTTTTCTAAATCAACACCCCATGACAGCTCTTTAACTTGAGGTTGATGCTTGCATTTCATTTTTGTGTTTTGAAGAATGTTGTACTGAAGGTTTCCAAGCACTTCAGGCAGATCAGTGGCAGTCACATATGCACCTACAACAAAGGAAAAGTTATATTAACTGCTGAATATATTTTAAGACTTGAGCAATATCTGTACAGAAACCATTTTGCACAACTCATTGTTTTTTCCAAATCTCTTCAAATATAGAGATACAATATACCTATAAAAGTTCACAGTATTTTTTATCGAAATATCTCTTAGGTTTCTCATGCAACATACGTACACACACAGTACCCCTCCAACTTCATTAAAGTATGCTTCTGCTCAGCAAAGTGACTCATATAGCATGGGGGAGGTACAGAAGAGAGGGTTCTACATTTGTTGCATCTTTATATCATCTTTTGTATGAAATATTTTCTTTCTGTAGATGGGGGTAGAGCAGTGGATGTGATGCGCTTTGACCTAGTAAGGCTCTTGACACTATATGTGGACAGACTGGAAAGAGTCCAGTGGAAAGCAAGAACAAATTAATAGTGGTATGGAAAGCATGGTTTATGCAGATAGACTGAAAGTGTTATGGTTATTTAGTCTCTAGAAAAGAAGACTGAGGAGGGATTTGATAATAGTCTTCAAATACCGAAGGACAGTTATAGATAGTATGGAAACAGGCTTTTTCTGTAGCTGTACAGGACAGGACTAGGAGCAATGGACTTAAGTTGCAGCAGAGGAAATTTACATGGAGGATTAAATGAAACTTTTGGACTATGAGGGTGGTCAAGCATTAGCTATCTAGGGAAGTTGTGGAATCTCCATCCTTGGAAATTTTCAAGATCAAGTTGGACAAACATTTGACTGGGATGGTTTAGTCAGAGACAATACTGCCTTGAGCAGGGGAGACCTTATGAGGTCCCTTTCAATCCTATTTCCCTATGATCCTATATACATGTGAAGAGATGGAATTTTCCAGCAATTTTCCAGTCAGATGGGGATCTGGCAATCATTCTAGTTTCTTTTCTTCTCATACAATTTCAAAATAAAAGGCTCTTCAATTACATTGGAATGGCTAGTGATTCTTTTTCCTCTTATTAAAGAACAAGCAATCAGGAGAGAAACTATAATGGGCATTACTTGAGTCAACATGGAAGACACACAAAACAGAAATGGCTTTAGCTACCAAGGGGTTACATAATTTACTCCTGAAAGAGACTGAACCTGAATTTAACTTCTAATGCCTCAAACTTCCTGCCCTGAAAGAAAGTTTTATACCAAAAACATCTTATTTCCATCTTCTGTTTAACACTGCACAGGACACTAGCCTCCTTTACTGAACCATGAGACTGGAAGAGGTTTCTTTAGCTATCGAGTCCAGTCTTCTGTTTTCACAGGTTACCATTTATGCAAGAATTCTCTAAAATCACCTTTGAACATTCCCTAATCTCCCTTATAAATCTGTTTGAAAGTGAAGGCCAAATACTATACAGATCACAGCAGAACAGATTTACAAGGTTATTGAAAGTCTTTCTGAATTCCCCCTCCTCTTTGTTGCTTTCAAATATATTAGAGGAACTAAATAGTTTGCTGTACCCACCAGTTGCAATAGCTATCAATATTCATCTTAGTGAAGTTTCCAACATTAGCAAAGCAATAGCATGTACTTACCGAGTAAACTGGCCACTATAGAGACGAGCCCTGTTCCAGCTCCAATCTCAATTACATTTTTATCAACCAGACTGTACTGTTTAGAATTTGTTTCCAAAAAGTAACACAGAACAAGAGCCTATGAGGATAAAAGAAAAGAAAACATATTAAACAAAAACTGCAATTACTCTGTACGCACACGCAAAAATCCATTGGCCCACAATCACTGTCCTTTGTGACACACGCAGGTAGATTTTTTTAAAACAAAATGAAATGTTTATGCAATTGAATTCATGTCTAAACACAGTTATAAGACAGTCATTTTCAACTCCAGCTTTTTCAAGAATCTACCACCCAGTCAGTAAAGACTCTGCCTCCCATCCATTCCCAGCAGTGGATGGCCTCAGCTGGTTCTACTTCCCAGTTTATGGAATAGCATAATCAGTCACAGCCACTGAATAATACCACCGTATACTTCAGTAACATCCAAGATTCTCAAAGCATTTCACAAGTATCAGATATTGTCATGTGATCCCATTCCACCCTCCCCTGTCCTATAGAGAAGTATCACTATCCCCATTGTATGGAGGTAGAACCTTTAGGCACAGACTGCTAGAAAGATTTGCCCAAACTCACCCAAAAAGCACATGATGGAGATAGGAATAAAACCCATATTTCTTTATTTTCACTTTCATTGCTCTTAGTGTAAATTTCCAGACATTAGATACTGCTACAGCTTTGTCTACCAAGTTAAAGAGTCCTCTCTAGCTTCCTTCACATCCATGTACTTTACAGACTGTGATTAAAGTATCCTTTTAGATTTGCTTCTTTCCCTGCTTCCCACAGCTTATTCTCAACATTTATTAAGCGTATGCGGTTTTGGCATCTTAAGGAGATGTCATCAGCAGTGTGAAGAGCTTGAAAGCCACAGGTAGCATAGTAAATGGACATGAGTCAACAATGTGGGACATGGTTTGAGCTTGTCCACAAGGGCATTTGTTGTTATTGGTGAAGGCCCTGTTGGTATAGGTTTGAAGCACAATGACCCTGTCCGGTTTAAAAATGGTTAGAAGTGCCCAATAACAGCATAGCCAGTTGAATCTTGGTTGACTGACTGTAGGGTCAGAGAAGATATGGTGATTGATTGGTCCTTGTGCTGACCATTCTTTGTGCCATCAAGTAACTAAGGAGGGTTTTGAAAGTGTGGACCATGTTGGACGTCTTGAGGGGAGCTGAGCTATTGGTGGGTGGAATACGTCCCAACGCACTGGCAGAATAGGATTATCATGGAGTCTGGCTAGTAAATTTACTCCAGCATTTGTGTGGCAAAGATGAGGAGGAGCAATGTCACTGAGGACTGGTAACCATGTGAGTAGAGCGGGGTCCAATCCCCCGCAAAAAGGCAACCGTTGTGTGGGGTGGTTTCTATGAAATAGTTTAGCTCACTGGTGAAGCAAAAATTACTGCCTCTATTTCATATGCAAAAACAGACTGGGGCAAAAATTGAGAACTATTTCCAAGTTCTAGTAAAAGGTAGATGCCACTTCGGGTACAAAATTCCCTTGTTCCCATGAAAAGGAACAACAAATGAGATTGTTGCCAGTTCCTCTTATCTCCTTGAAATAGCGATGACTAGTTGGAAACCACTTATAAAAGTGCTCCAAACTGTACAGAAAAGCTCTGTTCTTTGTTTCATTTATCAAAGGTTAAGAAGGAAATGAGAGGCATTGACACAGACTAGACACTAAGATCAAACAAACTGAATTTTCTTGTCTCTCAAGAATGAGAGAGAAAAAGCCTTTATCTAAGTCTTCAGCAAAGAAACCAGGAAGCCCTGTGGACTCAGCAAGTCAGTGATTAATTCTATGGATGCAAAGCCAGTTCCCACTGACAGAGCTAACATAAAAGGATTTCTGGGTTGCACAGCAGAAGCAAAGAAAAATGCAGAATAACATTTCCCTTGATTTTACAAGATTCAGCAAACAGCTTTGTTATGCAAAGCAATTTAAAATGCTAGAGGCTTTTAGTGCACTAAACAACAGTAATGGTGCATAATAATACTGTACCGATGGCCACACTACTGCCCCATAACAGTCAGTGGCTTCTGTAATTTTTATCTGGTGGCCAACAAAGTGAAAACTTTCCCAGGACTTGTTAGTTATAAGAGCAGGAGAAAAACGTCTTCTCATGATTTCTACAACTAAATGTCCATCTTCCTTTTTTCCTGAAAGTAAAATGATAAAGATCATATAAGTAATACAGATGTGTAACAGGATGACATAAAAGCTATTGCTGTAATCTGACAGTTCACCTAATTAATTACAACCTTGACTTCAATTTTGATAGCTCATGTAAGACAATGCCTTTTTTCTCCTTTTGCTAATGAAGCTCTTTACAAAACATATTAAAGAAAATGATCAGAAGGGTGATAATTTCTAATTTGTTTAAGCAATGAAAAGGGCTGTTTTAGGTATTTTTCTAAGAGTGGCTGCCTTGTTCTTGATTCTCGTTCTGTTTGCATGCTTCACTTTTCCTTCCTGTGCCCTTTAATGTCTCAGCCTTCTAAAAGTACAAAAAGGATCACAATATCATCTATAATGCTGTCACTGAACTTTTGAAACAGATATTATCAGCACAAATTATGACAGCCAGGAGAAGAAAGCACTGTTGTTGAAAGGCAAACCTATCCATCCAGCTCATCATACCCTTGTACATTGTATCTTTCCCCTTGGCTAGATAGCCCAAATATCTTCCTTGTTGCTATGTGAAAGATGTTTATGACAGATGACAATCCAGGGCAGCTTTCGTCTACCATACACGGTTGTGTAGTTGAATAGAGAATTAGCTTTGGTTGTATTTTCATCACAATGACACAGTGAAATATTGTGTTGCAATGGCTATGTACAGCCATATAATGCTGACAGATCAACTTGCATTATAATCATATAATTATGCAATACTGGTGTAAATACCATAATCATAAAAGAGACAGTAATTATCAATGTTATATACACTAAAATGTATTTTTATATTTTATAGACTAAATCATGTGAAAGGTTCCTTAGTTAATTAGTGGGAGGTTAGTTAGGTAAGTGTGCCAGATTACAGCACCTTGCAGGGCTAGCCAGAATCACTTTGCTGACTCATTCCAATGTCATGTCAAGCAAATTCTCATAGCTAAGGTAAGAGGGGTTTGATTCTCCTTCAAAAGCAGAAGGAATGGGAACAGATTTTGAGGATGTTGCAGCATGATCTTGTTAAAGGAAAAGCCTAGAAGACAATCACATTCAGAAAGAAACTTGGGCTGAAGATTTTTTTTTCTTTTGATGTTTTTAAACAATAAAGGAAATCCTTGGAATGGGGCAATATAGACCTTATGCTGAGTCTGCATACTTGATTTGGAACTAGAAGGACAACTTCTCCTTTAAAATAGGTCTACTCAGTCAGCTGTTCAGTTTGCACTGAATTCCATACATTTTAAATAATAGTATTATAGTGTTTGGTCCAGAAGCAGTAGCTTTAACATTTTATAGAATGCATTCCAGCAATTCCTAACACATATTAAATATAAAGGAAGAGATAAATGCATGAAATTTCTTTCCTTAATAAGTTCTTAGCTGATTAGAAGGGAAGGAGCACAGGCAAATGTTAAACAGCACCTAACGTTGAGGACAAAAAAAATGAAGACCATATTAAACTGGAACTGCAAGAGGAATGCTGATAAGTTCAGTTTAAGAACCCAAACAAGAATTTAGCCAGAATGATAGTACAAATATTTCTTCTAAATAGAATACATAATGACCATAAAGCAATCAGGATTTAGTTTTAGGGCTCTTCCATGAACACCTACAGTTGCAAAACATTCTCTCAACACCTTTGTGGTGCAGTGGGATAGCACTGATTCAAAAGGAACATTGCCACCTACTGACTCATGAACATAGTTTCCTGAGGAAAATGCTTAATTCCTTCCGAGTATAACTTGGCCAGACCTTACTGAAGCTTTCAAGATCTGACAGAAGCACAGCACAACACTACATAGCATCAGGGTATGTAAGTTTGCTGTGTCCTATAACTCTCGGTTGGATCAGTACATTGCAACATAGCATTTGACTTACCATTATTCAGCTCTGTAACAGCATGTTCTTCCCTCCTACAGAAGCTACACACTCTTTTACCTACAGAGTTTACCATCCACATTTATCATTCAAACCCATTACTTGTAAATATTTGAACATCATGTATCAGCTAGAGAAGCTCTGAAGCTGTGGCTAGGACCACGTGGCTTTATAATTAGCTGTCATCTTGGGATTAATGAGCATGACACCTGGACAGATAAACTGGCCTGACTCTTGTATGGCACCCTAGTGATGTAGTGCTTGCCCCAGAGAAAATAGCAATTTAAAAATGACAACCCACACAAATATGCCACACTTTCCAATTACTCTGTTTAGAAATGAGTCTGACTTTGAGCTAGGCAAAAGCTCTAAATAATTCCACTAACACTCTTCCGTACCTGGGTTTAAATTTTACAAAGTGACAAGAGACTTAGGGGCCAAATTGGCATACTCCAAATACATCAGATTTTCAGAAACTACTGAGAAAAAACTTCTGCTATCAGAGCCCTTTCAAGCATGTGTCTGGGCACCCAAAGTTACAATTCAGGCCATAAATTAAATCTTTAATTACCTATATTATATGTCACTAAAAGCACAGTCATCTAGCTCAAAACAACTGTGGTTCTTTGAAATGCATTGTCCACACACATTCCCCCATTATTGATGCTCATACCTACAAGGCTGCCCATTTCTGAACAGTGGTACCCATTGGAGCAGCCCTTGAACTCCATATAACCTCACACCGTCTTGTAACCAACAGCACAAAAGGACAAGGCATCCTCAAGCGACACTGCTCCTTTGCAAATAAACAGTCCTATGGGGGCTCTATTTATCCAAATCAGAAAGGCAGAGGGGAGGGGTTTTGCAATCCACATGCACAGGGCATCTTGAGGAACCATAATTACTGATAGGTAAGCAACACTTTTTTCCTTTTTAGAGTAATGATTGTCCATAAGAATTTCACCCTCAGTGAGGAACAAGGTGTTGTTTCACTGGTGGAAAACTAGTAAGAGGAGTCAGTCCTGCTTGATCAGTAGTTGCAGTGAACCCTTGCTGAACTGGAATCCAATATGGAGTCCTGCACTAAGAATAAAATGTTACAGGCGTGAAATGAGTTCTGTGTTACTGTTCTAAATCACAGTTTGGTTTCACCAGAGTAAAGTATAGTTTAGGAAAGAGAAACAAAGAATTCACTAGAGGAAATGACATGAGGAAATCTGGAACCACTTTAAGTGGAAATTTTGGATGAAGTCCTAGGTTAAAACTGTCTTCATGACAGAGTGGGAGACCTATCATGAGTGTCTCAATAGCTTTTGCCATTTCACCTAACCTAATGATTCCCAGAAATATGTTAATTGTTGAAGGAAACCAGTTATCATCCAACTAGTACTATATTAATAACCCAGTGCAAGGGGGGAGGGCACAATGCTCTGAACCTCAGCTGAGCAACTTCTCCCTAAAAACATCATCCATCCAGCAACCAGGTTGCCAGGTGTAATATGCCGCGTCCTAAGTCAGGATCTAGCTATTTTCCTAAGAAACCCAGCTGGGCAGAACCAGTACAAGAATGGGTAATTAAGCAAATTAGCCAGGACTGAGAGCCAAAGCTACTTATGCTGTGCTAAGGCTACAATGCTGACACAATGTGCTCATTGCCCCTGCTTTGTCAAAAACCTAGAGTGAGCTTGCTAAGGCATGGGATTTTGGCACCAGCACAATACAGCCTGAGGAGCTGAGAGTTAAAAATGGCTCCCTCCAGCACTCTCACAGGGGTGACTGGGTTACCAGGAGGTTCATAGGATCACAGGAAAATAGGGCTGGAAGTGACCTCATAGGATCATCTAATCCGGCCCCCTGCTCAAGGCAGGATCATCCGTAAGTAAACATCCCAGCCAAATGTCTTCCTAAACTGCTTCTGAAAATGTTCAGGTATGGAGAACCCACAACTTCTCTAGGGAGCCTGTTCCAATACCTGACCATCTCATAGTCAAAAAGTTCCTCCTAACCTCCAGCCTAAATTTCCTATGCTGCAGCGTGAACGTCTTGTTCCTAGTCCTGTCCCTTACAGACAAAGATAAAAAGCCCATCTCCATCCTCTTTATAATCACCCTCCAAGTATTTGAAGACTGTTATCAAATCCCTCCTCAATCTTCTCTTCTCCTGGCTAAATAATCCTAGTTCTTTCAGCCTTTCCTTATAAGTCTGGTCTTCCAAGCTTCCATTCATTTTGTTGCCCTGCACTGGGCTCTTTCTAAACTGTCCGCATTCTTCTTGAAGTGTGGGGCCCAAAACTTCAAAAAGGGACACAGACCTCCAGTTGAAACCTCACCAGTGCTAAATAGAGTGGAAGAATCACTTTCCTTGATTTACAAGCAACACTCCTGTTAATACAACACAGTATGCCATTGGGCTTTTTTTTTTTTTTTTTTTTGCAACAAGAGCACACTGTTGGCTCGTATTCAGCCTATGGTCCACTGTAACCCCCAGATTACAGTACTGCAACCTAGCCAGTCTCTCTGCATTACTGCAGTCTAGCCAGTCATTCCCCAGACTGTATTTGTGCATGCAGTTATTCTGCCTCAAGTCTAGGACTTTGCAGTTCTCCTTGTTGAATCTCATCTCATTGACTGGGGACCATTTCTCCAGTCTATCTTGGTTATTCTGGATCCTAGCCCTACCCTCCAAAGTGTCCACAGTTCCACCTAACTTGGTGTCATCTGCAAATTTGCTAGATGTGCACACGATCCCATCATCCAAATCATTAAGGAAGATGTTGACCAATACCAGGCCCAGGAGAGACTACCTTGTACTCCCCACCAAAACAGTTCACAAAACATATGTATCTGGACTACAGCACCAGTCAAGTACCAACATAACAGGCTGTTGGAACCCAAAGGGAAGGGATCAGTGGCAGTGATTTGAGGACCAGTGCTGTAGCTCCTTCATTAAGGAGCAGAGCCAAGTCACAGAGGGACAGTGGTTGAAAAGTAGTGACCTGGTGTCTGCTATAATTAGACTGAACCCTGGCCTGGAGGGAGGAGGCTGAACAGGAAAAAGAAAATTGACATAACTAAAAAGCAAACATATGATTGTATACTGCTCAGCTCAG